GTATTTCTCTCTGGGGTGAATGCTAAAAATAGGAGTTATGTAGGTGGAGACAGAAAAACTAAGTGTAAGAGAGGGAGGGAGGAAGCACTATAATTTCTACTCAACACATGGCTATTCAGGCTATTCAAAAAGTGATAGGATTTTAGGTCAGCCAAAAATGTGAAAGATAACCTGAAGAAGAAAAGGGCTTGAGGATATGGTTGCGGAATGCAGTCATCTCTAACTCACCCTGTCTTTGCTGTAAGAGCATTTTATCCAGAGAGAAGGCTTATTATGTCTACCAGTAAAGCTTCTTAATGGAAGCAGTTTTGTTATAAAAACATACTCCCATTTGTGATCTCAAAAAAACAAAGTGGGCTTAAAATATTAGCATTATTTTTTCATGTACATCTTCAGCATGAAAAAAGTTTCATTTTTGAGGTTTCACTGCTTAAAGGTCCAATTGGGCTATTGACACATAATGGAGAAATTCTTAAACTGTGTTCATCAAGATCAGCTAAATGTTGTAAAAACCCCAACATTGCAAGGGTTTTTAAAAAGGTTTATTTCTTGCTCTTACAGTCCAATGCAAGGCTCTCTGAGTAGGAGGAATGGGGAGGGAGGGTCTCCTCCACGAGGGCGTTTGGAGTCCTTACATCTGGGACTCTGGGCTCATCCTGGGTCCTCTGCATTGGGCTGGCAGAGAAGGGAGGAAAGGGAGGGAGTGGAGGATAGAGCCTGGTAGAGATGGCCATTGCGTCCACCCACATTCTTTTGGGCTGACTGTAAGGGAGACTGAGAAATAGAATTTAGCTGTGTGCTCAGAAAGGAGAGGAAACAAGTTTAGTCAGCAACCAGCCAGTGTCTGCCATATAATTTAAATTAAACATCACATATTAGCAGCACGGAAGCTGAATGTTATCCCCAGCTCTGGTTCCTTTGGGCTGGTAGTGAATCCTTTAAAAATTCAAATTAGCTTAAAAATTTGAATATAAGCAGAGTTCACACTAAAAAAAAAAAAAATCTCTTATTTTGTGGTTCTTCAAAAAATCAGAAGGACCTGCATTTCCACTTGACGTGAAATCGCTGGATGAAGTAACAGCTGTCCCCTTACCCAGAGGCCAGCTCTCCAGTTCACCCTCCAGCCTGTTTCACTCACTCAGCTGCCTGGCCTCCAAAGGGGCTTACACCTGCTTTCTCTGGTCTGCATAATGATTTAATCTTTTCGATATTTTATATCTTGTCATTAATATGTTAATAACAACAATTGACTTCAATAGATGGATTTGGGTCAGCAGTTGTTAGACTGTACTTTAAACATGGTGAAAACTACTAGCCAATTCTATCTGAAACTCCCTTTCTTCACAGAAGTAATGGTCTAATTATGAAAGAATTGAGATACATATTTTATTTTTAGCCTAATCATTTGTTTAGTCATAATTCATAGTCTGAATAGGGATGATAATCTATCCAGAACACTGGCTGTTGAATGTGAAAACTTTGCTTTCCTATTTCTTCCTAGGATTAATGCTTGCTGGGCTTGTAATCTTAAAATCGTTTTTATGGACTAAGAGCACTTTACAGAAAAGCAGCCCTCAAGCAACAGGACGGTCGTTGGGTTGATAGCAGAACAGTTTACAGAAATATAACCTACTTTAGGGTTGTTGACCATTGCTATTTGGGGGAAGGGAGTGAGGTAGGGTAGATTTGGTGTGTAGCTATAAAAACAAAATTAAACAAAACAAAACCAAACCCACCTTAAATAAAAGAGAGATCCCAATACAGCTCCTTTGTGTTTCTTTTAGTTGAATTTGAAATTGTTCCACAGTTGACATTGGGAATATTAACCTACTTGGAAGGGGAGATTGTTGGGTGAATTTTAAATGATAGTTATAACTGCTTTGTTTCTTTGGAGAACTCTGCACAAATATCTAAGAGTTGAGTGTTGGAAGTCTGTCATTTTAAAAAGAAGGAAATAGATTATCACACTTAAAATCAGGCAAATTGTCTACAAAGAAATTATCTCTTAATACCCTGGACAGGTGAAAAAAAAATCAACATCCCTAAGGCAAATTAACACTCACAAAATGAAAGTACAACATTATAGTGAGAGCTTTATATCTTTTGTTTGCTTTTTTCTTAACTGAGCAGAGATTAAAGAATTATTTTTTAAGTCACCTGAGGGTTTTAATGTTCCTGGTAAATTTACTTGTGCATGTAATGGCAGCTTTTTTATTGCTTTTTCAATTCACATGTCTGCATTTATATAGAAGTTGCATAAATTCTCTGAGAGAGAAGTCTGAAGTGGATTTGTAAAAACACCGACAAAAGAATTGACATTATTTTTCATTTTTATTCTTGATTTGGGTGAAAGGAATAAGCTACTGGTTCAATTTGAGACTTAAGTCAGCCGTTGGTATCAGGGAATAAAGAAATAGCATAATCACAAATCCTGGTAAAGACAGAATAAAATATCTCTTCTGAGAGAAAATGAGTAGAAATTTTTTTTAAAAAATCACCTTGAGTGACTATCAAGGGGAATTGTCCCTGGAGAAAAATAAGTTATTGGATGATGTGGGCTGCAAGAAGCCCACTGGAGAGGACCAGCATGGTCCTAACTCACCCAGCTATAAATTCTCACCCAATGCTAGGAAATCGGAATTACTATCTTCTTGTTCCAGATGAGGAAACTAAGGCTCAGACAGACTGATCAACTTGCCCAAAGTCCATAAGCTAAATAATTGGGGCTGCAGGAGTTCAAGTTCAAGGTCTCCCAGGCATGAAAGCTGGAACTGAGAAAAACAAGGCATGAACGTAGAGAAACAGCACACCAAGAGAGAGACTCAGGTTGCACAAAAATGGACAGCAGCTTAGGTTTTTAAATGTGGTTCCCTCACTAGATGACTAAAAGGAGGAAGTTTCAAAAGACCTGAGGCAAAGTGGGCTGAGGGATGTAGCAATTCTCTCTGCAACTCCCAGACACCGAGGCCAGGAGTGTGGGCTTAACCAGGGCACTTTGGTACCAGAAGGATACATGCTGGACAGATTCCAAAAGAGCAATAAAAACAATAAAGGGAACAGAGATTTATCTGTTGGAAAGATACACAAATCTAAGTGCCTTGAGCTTGCTCAAAAGGGCAGGAGGGTACCATGGACGGCAACTCTTTGAAGTGTGTATGGCACTGAGGAGAGAGAGTTCTGCCGTGGGGGTGTACCTGGGAATTGGAAGTGATGAAACATGGACAAGAAACCCCTAAGCTGACAGCAGTAAATGTTTTTTGGAAAAGTTACAGGGTAACTCCTTCAGGCTCTGATGTTTAACTTTCCCTGACTCACTCCTTTTCTGAGATTCCAATGTCTCCGGAAGAAACCCTTGTCCTATGCAGCCCCCACTGCTGCATGAGGAGTGCTGGCTGGATTGGCCCTCAGGGATGCTGCTCCCAGGGGCATGGCCACGGGAAGCTCCAGATGGGCTGGGCAAGGTGACTCATTTGCTTTTCCTCCCATGGTCATTTCTATGAGTCACATACTTTCATCCAGTCCAAAATATGGGAAAGTAACATCAAAAAGCCTAAGATGTCGTTATCAAATGTTTAATGAAAAAGAAAAATCCCCTCTCATATGATCCTTAAAGAAATGTGTATTTAGTCTTTCCATTTTGTTGCTATTGCTTTGATTTATCAGCATCCAGGAGGTGGGGTGAGGAGAAGGGAGGGGGCAAGCCAGACAGAGAAAGATTAAGGCAGCTCTGCACTGCTGCTCTGAGGCAGTGACCCAAGCTGCTGACCCCTGAAAGGAAAGGTCCAGCTCTTGTCCAATAAGCAAGGACTCCTCTGCTGAATAAGACAAGAGTTCTAGTCAACTGAGTATTCTTCAGCTCTGTGTTCGTAAGAAAGAGCACAGTGCCCATGTCCAGTTGGCTGGAGACCGGGTAAGGTGGTGGGCGATGTGGAGCACGGACTTGGACATCAGATGGATCTGGATTTGAACCTTGGATCTGTCATCTACTAGCTACGTGATTTCAGGCAGGACCCTTGATTGCTCTGAGACTTCTCTTTCAGATCTATAACATAACCATTATAATAAAAATAATAGTAATGATAATGCTGACATGCCTACCACTGATTGAGCTGATACTCTATACCAGATATTGTTCTATAGACTTTACATATATTACTGCATGTAATCTTCGCAACAACCTTACAGAAAGGTATTAATATTGTCCCCATTTTCCAAGTGTGGAACCTGAGGCAAAACCAGTTTAAAGTACTTGCCTAAGGTCATGTGAATAGTAAGTGGCAGAGGCAGCATAGCATCTGCCTCCTCAGGTTGTTGTGAGGCTTACTAGAGGTAAAGCAGCTAAAGGTATTAGTTCCAACTAAACGTACAACCGTATACACGCTTTTTTTAAAAACTAGAAACAAGGAAAGGAGAACTCCCTTTCTAATTGCCCCAATTGTTACCTCTTTCTTTTTAAAATAAATGAATGAGCCTCTTTACTATCAACATCCTAAGAGTAACCCACAGTATTCCTTATATTTTAACCCAAATTATCTAAAGTCCATAGAGATGATTTGCAAAAAAGCTGTAGCAACACTTGATACTAGGCTAGTACGTACTCCCCAGCTCTATTCCAGAAACTGCTGTGTTCCGACAGTCAGTCAAAATAAACATGCAGAAACCACCGACAGTTTACTCTCAGTAAACATGTTTACAAATCCAGGAGCATACTTCAGAGCAAAATAAAATATCTTCTCTACACACACACACACACACACACACACACACTTCTAATATGGTATTTAAGACCATTTTTGAAGATGATGCTGAATAAAACTTTCTCTCTCTTTCTTCCTTCCTTCCTTCCTTCCTTCCTTCCTTCCTTCCTTCCTTCCTTCCTTCCTTTCTTCTTTCTGTCCTGAACAAACTTTCTTATCCTGCGTGTTGATTAGTGTATTAGTCTGGCTGCCACAGAATACCACAGGCTGGATGGCTTAAGCAACGTAAATTTATTTATTCACAGTTCTAGACGCTGGAAAGTTCAAATCAAGGTTCTAGCAGGGTCTGGTGAGGGCTTTCTTCCTCGTTTGTAGATGGCTGCCTTCTCACCGTGTTCTCACAGGGCCTTTCCTTCTTACATGTGAAAGAGAGGAAGGAGAGCCTTGTAAGGCTACCAATCTTATCAGAATAGGACCCCTACCCTTATGACCTCATTTAACCTTAATTACATCCTAAAAGCTTTATCTCCAACTACAGTCGCATTGGGAGTTAGGACTTCAACATAAGAATTCTGTGGGGGACACAGTTCAACCCATGGCAGTTGATTAGTCTGAACTGAATTTTATGTAGAGGCCTACATATTTCAGAGACTCAATTATGATTCATTAAAATTTTCTATAGATTGTGGTCACCACTAGACCAGTAATTGCCAAAGGGCTGTGAATCAGGTGTTTGTGTAGTCTGTGGACAGATTAAATGTAATAGATAAGATCTCTTGGTAAAGCAGAGTGAAAAGAGTCTCAGAATATAGGGTGGTGCTATCTAAAAATAAGTCTTGATGGCTATTGTGCTCCTAACACTGAAGGTATTTTGGAACATAAACAAGTTACCTAAAAGCAAAAGTTAGATCTGGAAAGGAAAGGGCCCATTCTGCTGAAGGAACATGTTCTTTCCAAATGGTTTGCATAATTTCCTATGTAGCTTTCATGTTACAGAAAACAAACACTTAGGTGTTTGGATGACTAGGTAGACCAAGTTTCCGTGTGTCAGAAATCTCACTGGGGCTGGATTAGTTTAAGAAATCTTGTTAACTTTCCTTCCATATGTCATTTAAAACTTTGGAAAATGCGAATGTGCTATTTTCTTGCTTTTGGACTTCTTTATTTTCTCCTTTTGACTAGGCATGCTCAAAAGTGGTGGTATCTTTGTAAGTGGGCCTCAGCGGGGGAGTGATGAAATGGGAGGAGCTGGATAAAAAAAAAAAATAAGACTTTTCCAATTATAAAAACTCCGGTAATAGTCAGCTGCTGGTGTCCAAAATAGAACTTATTTTTAAGGCTACTGTCTTGAGAGTAGATTTTCAAGAAAACAAGTTATCTTTCTCCTTTAAGAAACCAAGATTCAGACACTCTATTGGTTCTTCCCATGGGGTAGAAAAGAATCATTCTTCCAGGACCATAAGGCCATGAATTTGCTGTTTTATGGTGGGAGAGTGATAGGATGCAGGGGAAGAGTCCTGCTCCTGACAGGGGTTGGGGGCAGGGAAGAGTCAGATAAAAAAAAGCCTTTGTGGCCTAGGAGGTATTTGAATAGGTAGAGGGAGGGCTGATGGCAAAGAAAGCTGGCTTTCACTTTCTTAGGATCCCAGAAAGAAACTAACTTTCCAGCTGCCACTAAACCAGTCTGCAGTATAAAAGTACTCAGGCAGTGGAGGCCCTGAGGTTTTGTGCCCTGGTTTCTGTGGGAAAAGCCTGTGAACCTCCTGGGGCCCTCTGTGGCGACATGAAGGATGATGAAGCAGCGGCTAGGTTTGGATGGGAGATGCTACAGGGACTCAGAGGGCCTTGGGTTGGTAGGCACGGCTTGCTGAGGAGAGTGTGGCTCAGCCTTGGAGTGCACCAGGCCCTGACCAACTTGAGAGCGAGACCAGATCACCAGTTCCCTGGCCACAGGCCAGCAGTCAGGTGACCCCCACTACTAGGCTCTGTCTCTTCTGTTTCACCTTACCCAAATTTTGTTTAGGCGGTTGTAAAGACGCGGTATGTTCAGTAGTGCTTCCTGCCTAGAACACTGGTCTGTTCCCCAGCTCACTGTGTAAGTTTTAATCGTTCATTAAATCCCAGAAATGTGTCTACTCTTCTGTGAATTTTCCCAGACCTCTTTGTCTCCCGTTCATTCTTCTCTCTTGGGGACCCCGCGGCACCCATTAAGTGAGCGACCAGTTTTGGCATTTAATTGTGTACTGCCTGGAACTATTATTTCCACATTTGGATCTTTTCTCTTTCCAGTGAGACACCTAGTTTCTTGCAAGAAGGTACTTTTGTTTGCCCATATATGAGGCCCTAAAGGAAGCAGATACTTAATAAATTCATATTGAACAAATGAAGGCACTTGACTGCCTCGAAGGGCTGGCCCCAGAGTTAATTTGATTCAGAAGAAAAGTACAGGTCAAAGGAATGCTATTGTTTTACCATTTTCTTGTAGTGGAAAGTCCCAGCTAGTTATCAATTAATAGTGAGTATCAACAGAATTTATCTGGTGCTTACCAGAGGGTGACTTCTGAAGATAACTCCACAGACAGAGCTTACTGTGAAACAGGCTGAATTCTGCCACAATTTATTCCCTCTCTGGTCTCACACTAATCACTTAACTCCTGCAGTGCCACACGCGGGAAAAATGTAGTCTATCATCAGTCTCATATGAATTAACAAGCCTGTGTTCCACGTTCCAGAAGCACGGCAGGCTGATACAGATGTCAGTGGGATCCTGGCTTTGTGAGTTTATGTGCTGAAGGATCTTTGGGTGAAAAGCAATGATATGAACACAAAGGGACCATTATTAGGGTCATCATATTGACATTCTTGTATTGTATCAGGTCAGGGGAGGATGAGACAAGGGCAGGACTTGGGCAAGGGACAAGACATACTAGCAGCGGGAGCAACAGTTCGGGGTAAACAGTTGTAAATCCCCAAGGCTGGACCTTGTTAACATTTTACAGAACGCTTTGTCTCTTTTAAGCAAGCTAAAAGGCAAGAATGAATTCACACACCCTCTTTGGAGGTCAGTGGGATTTCTCTGTTTCTGTGGGACATCCCTAATTAATCTCAAGCTAATCGGGAGCCTGAGGTTCACTGAGTTGGATTTAGAAACCACACACCGTTTTGCTTAGCAGCTTGGAGTACACAGCGTAGGTAGAGGCAGCACACACGAACAAATGACGGGTTTTCCCAGTGCTTCAGAGGCAACTCCACAGCTGGGTCAAGAGAAGCTACCTGTCTCTCTTTCTGGTGCATTCTTGGTGACTTACTTTTGTTCTCCCTACCTATTTGGCACCTCAGCACCTAGGTTTCTGAGGCTCTGAAGAGCAGCATGTTGTGGGTCATTTCTCCACGGGGGTAACTGAGGAAGGAAGTTTATTCTCAAAGCACATGTAGCAAGGGTATGATTCGGGGACAGAATAAAAAGTATTACTATTTTGTTGAACATAAATGGTCAAGGAGCTGATTTCAGTAAGAAGTTTCAAACTGTCATGGCTGCCAAGTATTAGGGGTCAAGAGGCCACTAAGTCCCAGTGGATTAAGAGCACTGCTAATTTTTCTCAGGGACATTGCAACTTTGGAAAGGGTATCAATTTAGAAACACAAAGTAATTGCTGTTTTTGAGATGAAATGAAGCCATAAAGAATTAAACAATTGGCCCATAAGTGGGATTTTTTTCTCAAATAATCCTTGACCTCTGTGTTCTAGAAAGGACTAAGAGCACAGCCTTGAGGGAGAGGGATAAGGAAGACAGCAGTTGAGGAGGAGGACGTCGCTGAGGAATGTGGCCTCAGGACACTCAGGGAGACGGCTACAGAGGAAAAATCTGACAGAGAAACTGAGTAAGTAAACTCAATCTCTTGAGGTGTCTGGGCCAAAACACATTTTATGACTTTGATGATTAAAAAAATCTATATATTTTGAATGTTAAGATAATGAAGATCAAAGCTACAAAATTTGGATGAAAAGAGGATTCCTGTCATGTCTCAAGCTTTGGAAAGGAAATGATGGAATAACCTTTGGATCAAAGTGGCCGAAAAGTGGATATTTGGGTGCCTCAGGAAAAAAAAAGTCTTGCAGACCTTTGCATAGAAAAGTCATCATAATAATGTAGAAAAACACATGAATTCATGCTGCATGGAATGAAGCTTAAAGTAGGTGTCTGCCATTAATGAAATAGGCACCATAAGTAAGACTGTTTATCCATTGCTTATGAATCCATAAGATTATTAGATGAAAAATAGCCCACCATAAATAATAAGACTCTTTTCTATCCAGTTGCTGAAAGAAGTACTTTAATATCTATTGTATAATTAGATTCACATCAATCCTGAGAATTGTTAGAGCAGGTTTTAAAGATTTATTCATTTATTTATTTATTTTTTATTTCTTTATTTGACAGAGAGAGACACAGCGAGAGAGGGAACACAAGCAGGGGGAGCGGGAGAGGGAGACGCAGGCTTCCCGCCGAGCAGGGAGCCCGACGTGGGGCTCAATCCCAGGACCCTGGGATCATGACTTGAGCCGAAGGCAGATGCTTAACGAATGAGCCACCCAGGCGCCCCTAGAGCAGGTTTTAACCCCATTTTATAGTTGGGAAGGCAGAGCACAGGGAGGTTACATAGCTTCATAAGGTCAAGCATAGTTGATAGCATTTCCTGGACCTTGGCCTCTGGAAACCTTAACTGGGACTCTCCACCAGACTATGAGTTGCCCTCAAACCAACTCCTCTGAAGTGCTCAAACCTACCAATGAGTGAATATCAAAACAAAACTTCAAAGAGGCTCAAGTACAAAGGTCACCAAGACATACTAACCACAGCCATGTTCAAGCCTTCTCCAGGCTGGCTTCAGGATGTTCAGATGAATTTCTATGAATGGAGAGGAATTTCTATGAATTGCCTGGGGTCTGAGATGCGTAGTGCATTGACTCACTATCTGCTGGGATGGCTTTTGGGGAATTCATTTGGCTTCAGAAAACAGGGACTTGAGGGGGTAGGATGCAGGCTTTGGAGAACCACGAGGAAGACACCTCCAGCATGCCAGACCACCGAGATCAAGCAACTGAGTGAGATTCTAGAGAGCTCATGGGCTCCTGAGGTGGTGTCCAGAGTTTGGTGGGAGAAGCACCTCAGAATGGTGATGGGCACAGAAAGAGGCAGTTAGAGAAATCCTGAAAAGGGTTTTTGTTTGTTTGTTTGTTTGTTTTGACTTCTGCCCCGTCCTTGGGAACCATGGGATTATAACAGCACAAGTCTTGAGGACAAGCCGTGCTGGGATTTGGAAGACCTGTGTGATTCTAGACAAGTCATGTAATCTTCCTGGGCATTCACATCCTCATCTATAAAATGAAGAGGTTGGACTCAGTGATGTCTTT